ATATACACTTATATACTTATTTCACTTAATACGAATTTCTAACAAATTTAGTCACTCGCACTACACTGCTCTGGATAAGTACTCTTAAGTATGCATAGTGCAAATGGCCAAATTTGTTAGACCGAATTCACTATAATTATTTTTTTATTTTAACACTTTCTGAACTGAAAGGTTATGTAAATGTCAAACAAATGTAAGTGCGCGCCGCGCGGCTTCTCAGCGCCATCAGCGCACCTAACGTCAGAAACTTGCAGATTCCACCATCTGCACAAAGTATACTTTCTGTCCACTAATTAACTAACTACAGAATACTGAGAGTGTACACTTCTGCACTTTAAGATCGAAAAAAATTTTTTTTATGAAGAATACTATTATTGATGATATACACTATCTCTATTCGTCTCCACAACACGTTATGTATACATTTTACGACCGATATTAATTATATCAATGTGATTAGTATCATCAAAGCTGCGAGCTGACAGGTCTGAGCGCCGCCATGTTGGAAAAGGACAGACGTCTTTTAGAAAAAGAAAGGAAAGAAAAAGACGCTCTTATGCGGGAATCGACATTTCACGGGCTGTAGAAAAGGATAACCATGTCGCATTTTGATGCTTCTAGTTGACAAAGGACAAACTTATATATTAGATATATTAGAGAAGGATGACGAACAGACGACGACGACGACGACGACGACGACGACGACGACGACGACGACCAAGACTTACATAGATTTCGGCATATTTCGACTTTGGCAAACTTTGGCAATTAATATATTTTTTTAGAAAGCATGTACAAAAAAAGTAAAGATACTTTTATCATGTATATCGCATGTGCTCTATCGATTGAGCCTATTATAAATTCGATCGGTCCACGCATTATTGAGATATGAAAATCTCGACTCCTATCAGCTCATGTGCTCGCGTAAAGATACACGGTCGGTCTTGCGCTGCGCGTGAACTTGGCGCGAGACACTACCGTGTCTCTTGATCTTCTTCTTCCACTGCTCTACAACCACAACAATATTCCTTCATCCAGTCTTATCCAATGCCTTCTCTCCGCCGTATCCAAAATACTATAAGTATGTATTTTATATATTACATTTATCAATATACTTGTACAAATATTTCTTCATTTCTGCTTTAGAATATTATTTTTCAAGTGCAAGTGCTTTCACGTATACATACTACACAGTTCTCAATGAGTTCAAACACGCTATAAAAGAAGAACTTATTACAAACAGCTGATACTGTATTATATATGAATCTCAATTCAGTTCATTCTGAACATAAAATGAGTTCTTTTTAAATACATCTTATCCATTGCTGAACCCTTTATGAAGTGCTATATAAATTCATTTTTACTGACATTCCCTGTTGTACTTAGGAACACAAAATGAACTGTTTAGTGATTGTTTCTGAAGATTAAAAGGAACTCATTGCTCTTTTAGCTGAGCTCAATGCGAACTTTTTAGGAACTATTGGTGCCATCTGGGTATACAAATAAATATAAATATAAAGTTGACTTGTGGATATCGTAAGTACCTATATAAAATTTATAATAATCTAGTTAACAATGTGTACTCACTTATGAGGCTGTGCAAAGAACTGCTATGTGAGAAATCAAAGTACCGGTCATCTCAAATTCGAAAATGAGACTGTGCGAGGTGTTAATCGGTAGGAAGGAAAAGGGTGAGGAGAGGAAGGGGGGGAGGAACCGAGACGAGTAGGTAGGGAGTAAGAAGGGGGGGAAGAGGGGGAGGGTTAATCTAGAGTGAAGTCAATAATAATTTGACTTTAAATAGGTGGCAGCATGTTGAGAATAGGAACGTACGAATCGCATAGGAGTTCTGTATCACTTTGTTTATTAAGCCCAAATTTTTGTCTTTTAATATGAGTCATTTCCGAGATTAATCTCTTGTAACAAGCCTCTTTATCAAGAATGGTAACACAATCCCAATCAAATTCGTGATTGTAATCTAAACGGTGTTCCGATATGACAGAGCGCGCAGAAGATTTCTTGATGTCGTTTTTGTGTTCAGAAATTCTAGTTTTTAGCTGTCGTTTACTTTGTCCAATGTAAGTGACTGCGCAATCTTTGCAAGAAATTCTGTATACAATATTATTATGGGAAAAATTGTTTATTATGTCTTTATGATTCTTGATGAAGAACTTTAAATTTTTGGGTATGGAACAAGATAATCTCATGCCGTGATCTTTAGCCATGAAAGAGAACTTTTCTGATTCACTTCTAATGAAAGGAATAGTAAAATATCTTATGTTCTCGTCATCTTCTCCTATGTTAGTAACATCTCGTACTCCGTCCTTTTTGTGTATATAAAATTTAATTCTATGTCTTATAAGATTGAAAATGTACGGGAGAGGAAAACTATTGTATAATAGTATTTTTATTACCTCATCTAAATTTTTTTGATGGAATTCAGGATGCGATAAGAAAAGAGCCTTATCAACCAGTCCCATTACAATATCCCTCTTATGTGTGTTTGAATGTTGAGAAATTCAAGTATTTACCTGAGAATGTAGGTTTATGATACCAATCAAACTTGAAGTTCTTATCATTGATAATCATGGTGACGTCTAAAAAATTGATTCTTCCGCCTATGCCCAATTCTGCAGTAAATTGAATTTTCTCATGAATCAAATTAAAAAGATGTAGAATGTTCTCTATTGAGTTCTTGGGAACAGCAATGACAACATCATCTACATAACGGAAATAAAAGGGCAGTCTGAACGGTAAGCTGTCAATGGCCAATCTCTCAATGTCCATCATGACAATGTTAGCCACTATGAGGGACAGAGGAGAGCCCATAGGGCTGCCAAAGGTCCTTCTATATATGACGTCACCAAACCTAAAGTATGTCGAATTTAAAATGAATCTAATGGCACATATAAATTCTTCCAGGGAGAACGATGTGTCTTTTGTAATAGAGCCCATCTGTCTGTAATGCCTGAAATAACTAAATCCGAGGGAACATTCGTAAAAAAAGAAACCACATCAAGTGAAACGAGATCAAAATCTCCTTCTAAACTTATGCGGTTCATCTCTTCTACAAATTTGAAACTATCCTTTATATGACTGGGAGGTGTAGGAATGCTATTTAGCAAAATTTAATGTATGAAAGTGGCTAACTTATATAGTGGACTATTAATACAAGATACGCCTTACAAGGTTACAAAGGTTCTAGATAAAAATCGATTCGTGGTTCAAGACATCTCCGGATCAAGCCTAACGTCTAGGTCGTATAATTCGATTCTGTCACCAGACCGTTTAAAATTCTGGATTAAACCACCGGTTGAACCACCGATTGAATTAAGCTAGTATTAAGAAATAAGTTTTGCATTAGCGTAGGTATTACGTTAGTTAAAAGGTTACGAGTTGCGTTAGCGTTAAGTTTGCGAAATTATACATGTATACCAAAGAAAAGACTGCGATATATTAAATGTATCAGCTCTGCAATAATTGGCGTTAAGATAAAGTTGTACCTGTTAAAATAAGTTTGCGTTGCGAGAATATAGACTATAAGTTTAAATTAGTGTGTAAGGAAATTTCATTGTGATTTTAAACTGTTCTTCTAACACCAGAGACTGATTTTGTAGGTAAAGAATTATGTATTTATATGTATATCTTTCTCGGAGTTAAGTTTGCAAAGTTTATAGTCGTTTTCTGCGTTTGTGGTTCCCCTTGATCAAATATTATGGCTGTTCATTAATGAATATTTTATTTGTTTATTTTTAATAAGTTGCGTTGTAAGCGGTGATTCGGGACAAACGATACTCTCAGGATGACCGAGCTGTAAGAGGGAACTCGTCCCCAGACAAGTTATCTCTCTTATCCACATTTTGTATCTTGCTCACATATGTTGTATATTGCGCGCGTTGCGGTTATCAAGCGCCCGATTGGTAGAGTGGCGCTGCACTACACGAAGCGCTGGCGTGCTCGTCGCCTATTGGTTGACAATAATGCCACCAGCCGGCCATGCGAGCATTGGTGAGCATGTCTCAGGACATTGTGCCTTTGTCCGCGCGATGGTGCACATGTGATTCTTTTAATAAAAACTTTTCGGTGTTGGTAAAGATAGTATTGTTTTAGTGCCCGCCACCCCTTCGTCCCTCATTCGGTTACAAGTACTATTCTGACTGTATACACATTTATTCGTCCAAGCATTTCTTAGTCGCTCATGTGTATTTGCGTCGCGCCTCAAGAGCTCTTCTTTAACGGACATTAATAAATTGTAGATCGTTCAATTCCATTCATCAAGAGCATTATTTTATACCACCATTCATCCTACATAACTAAATAAAATATATTAGGTTAGAAATCGCGTGTGC